GTTAGTTAGGGTGCTTATGGTGTTAGGAGGGGGTGGGGATGGGGTGAAGTGTCCCTGTGTCAAACACTTGCACAAAACGCTAAAGAGCACATTTTGTTGACATTATTTTTCCCTCTACAGTTTTTGACCCCCCCATGTATTTTGGTTGTTGCTTTTTTTACCATGTGTACTACATAACAATACCGGTGAGATATGTGCATGTTTTGTGTGGGGTTCTAGTGTTTTATACAGAGAGAACTCTTCCCCAGTTCCAGTTCCGTGTTACAGAATGTTACCACTGTAGACGTGATTTTCTGTTTTTGCTCGATATTCCAGGGGATTTGCAGTTTGCGCAAATGCAGAAAATTAAAAACAGTTAAATTATAGAACTCGATTGGCATAATACGATGTGGGAAAACGTTGGGTTTTTGTTGTTTTTTTCCTTTTTGCCACATGCATTAGGTCAAAATTTCTGTTTGGTTGTTTGGTTGTCAGTATTTTACAAACTTTTCATGGCTGCAACTTTCATATTGAAGTATAGAGATTAAACATTTCTTTTTGATGTGTGTCTTCCTTACTTCATTATTATTATATGTCCAATTGAAAGCTTTATGAAGCTGAATGAGAATTACATACAAATAACTGTGTTGGAAAGATTTTAGGAGACAATGGACAATATATTTTTTTGATGAACTTTCACTAACTGCAGCCAACAGGACCTCAATTGTTATGTTTTGCCTGAACAGCAATCACAGTTATACAGAGCTATGACAGAGAAGAAAAACAGCTTTCCAACTCATTTATTTGTGTTTATTTATTTGTTCTGTGACGTTTATCCCTTAATGTATGTGGGAGATTGGTGGGAGATTGGTGGGAGATCTGGTGTGGCCCGATTCTTCTACATCTTTACTTTCAGTATTGCTTCTATGGCAGTCTGCTCCAGGGAAAATGTGGCCAATGTCTTACTAACTTGCCTAAAATGCAGCAATCACACATACTCTCATTTCTATCTTTTTCTTTACTTTCTCTTCCGTACAGCCACCCCCCCCCCCCCAATTCCTTCATATTATCCTCTCCCTGTTCCTCTCTCTCTTTCCATTTCCCCCTTCCTCACCCTCTCTCTCTGCCTCCCTCCCTCCTCCCCCCCTCTTTCTCTCTGTCTATTTTGCTGTCTGTCTGTCTGTCTGTCTGTCTGTCTGTCTGTCTGTCTGTCTGTCTGTCTGTCTGTCTGTCTGTCTGTCTGTCTGTCTGTCTGTCTCTGTCTCTCTCTCTCTCTCTGTCTCTCTCTCTCTCTTTCTCTCTCTCTCTCTCTCTCTCTCTCTCTCTCTCTCTCTCTCTCTCTCTCTCTCTCTCTCTCTCTCTCTCTCCCCCCCTCTGTTAGACAAGGGAGCCAGGTTGGTTTATTCAAGTGTTCCTCAAAAGGGATCAATGACTTTAACCTTGACCTCGAAGAGACTCACAATAACCAACGTTATAGAAAGATGAATTCCCAATTTGAAGGTAAACACTTATAAATATAGCACTGTGAGGAGAAGAACATTAATTAAAACCGTCAAATGCCATTACATGTCAGTAATCTTACCTAAGCCTTCCATCTGAAATCGGACTGAATGTTTGTATTACCAATCCCCCCCCCCCCGAAAAAAACCCTCAAAAAAGAAAATCCACTCCTGGGAGAAAAATGTCCCTTGCCTGATACAAACCCTGAAAATGTGTCTTGAGCCTAGCTTGTGGAATTTCATCTTGAAAGCAGATATTGATTTGCAGAAGAGCAGGGAAAAAAATGATCTGGATTATTTTGAATTAAAATAGAAAATACAAGGAGACTGTATTCACTCAGGCCTGTTTCCCTTGTTCTACAGTGAGAGTGCCAAAAACAGAACTCGCAAAATCAGTATTGTACTATTACTACGATTACAGTCAAAACAATTTTTAAAGAAACAGACAAAAGAATAGTAAGTTCTAATCACTGTTTCCTGTTTCAAATAATTAAGAGAAAGACTGGATGTATGCATTAGCCAGTTCTAATGTAGATCTTGTTTTGTATTTTTGATACTTCAGAATAAGGTTTCCATACTAGTGCGGGTGCCTCTGGCAGTCACTATTTCTCAACTCATTGAGGAGGTACTTTATGGGCTTGAAAAAGTACTGTTTTAGGGTGCTTTAAAAACGATACACGTAGTTATTCACACAGATTTTTCAACCCTGCTCTCCTTATCTGAAACTTGAAAGGGCAGGCAACAACATGCTTATTATTATGAAATGTGCAAATTCGTGTTTCTGATTTATGTGCGTTTGTTCGAAATATGCTGCAACCTTACCACTGGTCTGCTGCTGATGGGACATATTGTCACTGCGTTTGCAAAATGGCACATCTCATTTTTTTCTACTTTTGAGATAAATGGGAAAAACTATTTAACTAGGCTATGCATCATCTAATAATACATGCATGTTTCTTTTGTGACTGCTAAAGCATTTTGATTTTGGTTTTACTCCAAGATAGATGTAGTACCACCCAACAAAATGAAAGACTAGTTGCATTTTGGCACAACTTTGAGTTATGCCATGTTGTTAGCGCAGTGACGATATATGTGTCGGCTACCTTTTTAAAGAGTTAACTTTCCTTCTATTTTCTGGTTGTATGTCTTGTCTTGTTGAACCGCAGTAAATGGCAGCAATCATAAAGTTGAGCTCTATGATCATCCTGTCAATGCAGTCCTCTGACAAGGAAATAATCTGCTCTGTGCTTATTGTTCACCCTGGTGGCAGCATTTGTGCCACCTAAAAGGCAGAGCAATGTAACTGCACATCATATCATGATTTTGAGAAAAATGGGGCAAACTCTTGATGCTTATTATTGAGATCAGTCACTTATATCTCTTTACCAATTTGAAGACCATTGTTTTGGATGTAGATATGTCTTCCTGCATGGGAGATTGGTGGGTGCTCTGGTGTGGTTTGCTCCTACTTTCCTATCAGACATCAAACATCTGTTGTCCTAGTCTGTCCTCTTTCTTTTTGTGTTTGTACTCTCTGGTTACACCTCTAATCTTCGGCACTTATGCGACCTTATTGTGTTGCAAGTGTCATAAATTCTTACTAAAACTAAAAACTAAAACGTCTTCCTGCTTTTGATACAAAAAAGACATAATGCACTGTATGCTCCTCAGGAATTGAGATTGTTTCAGAATGCTGACAGGTGTGCTGGGGTAATAATACAGATTGTAAAGCTCACAGAGCTTGCTGTTAGTGGGAGTTTGTGTTGAAAGAATTATGCTATTTATAATAATTATTAATAATCAAGCTTCGCCCCCCCCCCCAAAAAAAAACAACTACAAAAAACAACAAAACAAAACAAAAACCCACCAAAAGCCCCCCAAAACCCCGAACTTAAAAACCTTCTTGATTTTAACAAACTTGATTTTGTCAGATATAATGTCAGTCTGCCTTGGGATGGCAGATAATATGCGTCATCATCCATAAGATGATGCTGATTTGTGTCTGTACAGTTAGTTCAAGGTGCTGTTGGTCATGCATCTGGAAATTGATAAAGAAAGGCCTGAACAGAACTCTAATGGCCGATGAGTGTAGAATGTTGACTTTCAACGGCAAGTTATATTTTTCCTTGTTTGGTTTACTACACTTGTTTTTGCTCAAAAATTTTGTATTCATCTTTTCTGTCTTTAGTTTTCTCTATGGCTTTTTACTGAATGTTTCTGATTTGTATTGAAGCAAAGCCACATAGCGCAAGACTATTGAAGGAGATTTATAAAAAACTCCAATGAGTGGTATCTGTGATCGCAATATGTGTGAAAATGTAATCACAGATGGCAGCATCATTCCTGCCCCGTTTGCTCTGTCACTATTTTTTCCCGCCCAAAGGGTATTACAGCTGTGAGACAAGTTTGATTGCTTAGAAAAGAAACTTTGGTCTTATGATAATAATAGGCTACTAATAAATAGCATATTTTGTGTAGCGCATAACCCTTCTCTACAGCAAGCTCTATACGCATTACACTTTATATTATTACCCCAGCAGACCCTAGAATTCTCAGATACATTCTCAACTTCCCAGGAGGCATACAGTGCAAGCAGTTGATTTAGCTCTCTAACACTAACAAACTGACAAAATCTTTCACTGTCAATAGCTGGGTACCCATTTCCACTTGGTGAAGTGAGGAAAATGGTTTCAAAGTGCCGTTCCCAAGGACACAACGTTGGGTCCCTGACGTGATTCAATTCCACGACCTTACGCTTGTGAGTCTGAGAGCCTCACCTTGAGACCACTGACGCCTTATCAGTGTGGCTAAACCTTCTGGCGATGAATCATGAACTCATGGTAGAGGCATAGCAGAGAAAATCACAAGAATCGAAAGAAGAGAAAGATAAGCCTGAGCCATATATAAAAGACTCAAAAGTTGTGCCTATTATTTGTTACATATGTGTCATGACACGGCGGAATCAGGTGCTCGTCAATTTTTGGACATGTGGTGTTATTGATGTAAAAAAATAATAATCTTAAAGCTTGTTCATTAGTCTTGTTTTTGAGGAGATAAACGCCATCAATCTTGAATAGTACTCGAGATAAATTTGCCGTTGAAGAAGGTGGGGGTCACATGATTTCAGAAGTAAAATTTGCAAGAAAATGGCAGTCAAAGTTCAGTGACTTACATAGTTTGAAAGTCCCTGGAAACTGAAAATTTACATTTTTGTGCCTTCAATCAATGTTTTCCTGTTAAAATCCTCTTAGAAATATGTCTTTATAAGAACAAATAAAGTGTTGAGCCAAAGAACAAAAATAAGACAATAATTTGAAACCGGCAGAAAAAATGTCAATTTCTTTGATTTCATTATTTTGACAAGCACTTGATTTCACCGCATTGCCTCACATATATGCTAAGACCATGTTTTTCAAACACTCATGTGTCTGTTGTACCATCAGGTAGAAACTTTAATTTCTCTTGTGATGCTACTTTCAATTGTGTGTGAAGTTAATTTTGTTATTTTTCTTTCTTCCTCAGGTGCGGAGAAAGTTTTACATCTACGTGTGGAAAAGTATGCCCCAATACCTCCTCTTATGGTCGAGATGCTAGAAAGAGTGGAAAATGTCTGCTTCCCTTGAGGAATGGTCATCTCTAGAGATTTTCATCAGCTATAACTATAGCCGAATGTTGCCCGGTCAATGTGAATTTTGCCCAAAGTGGCTATCAAGCTCAAGAATTTGTGGGTATATACTGTGACGGATGTGGGAAAGTTCAGCTCATCTGTGAATGAAAGCAGTATGTGCTCAGCAATCTGCCACACTGTATGTCCATTGGGGGGCTGAAATGTGAAGAGTGAATAGGTTGGCCAAGGGAGTTACTTCGAATGTCAAGGGAAACTGACAGGGGATTCCTGCCGATAAATATATGCTCTAAGTCTTACTTTTCTTGACTTTGCTGTTGAAATATATCAGCTGTTGCTTTGTGGATTCTCATCAGAAAAATTGACCTGCCCTTACATTGCTCATGGCTGGTACCTAAAAGCCTCCAATGTCCTTCTTGTTATTCTTGATTTAGCTATAATAAGAAATTCTGAAACCGAGGGAGAAGCCTGCAAGCTGTTCACCTCCACAAGTGGAAGTGGAGTCTTTAAATGTTAAAAATTATGTATCCAACTTTTCTCTGCCAGAACTGGTCTCATCGGTCGACATACCTTCATAGAAATACAAATGCTCAAACATTTTTAATTCCTCTGTCTTACGTATTATTTTTGTCTCTTGTGGGGGCTCGGGGATCAGTTTCAAGGTTCACAGAGCTGACATCTTTCTCTTGGACTCAAAAGCACTATTTATAGTCTTGGGCTTAATTAATGCTTTTAATGTTCTGAAATTTGGCACAAATGAACTACTTAATCTTGTTATAAACTAAAACAGAAGGCTTGTTAAAAAATTTGCAACAACATTTGTTTGAGAATTAAGATATACAAAAAAAATATTCATCCTGGAAAATTGATTCTTTTGCCAGTGTCTCATTCTTCATATTTAAAATCATCACATTTTTTTTTATTCATGAGTTTTATAGAACCAAAGATTCTCTATAACTTTACTAAAACTGTGACATTTGGCCTTGGTAATTTTTTGATGTTGCTACAGTTATCTGGCTAGTTAGTCTGACGGTATTTTCAAAAATGCTTTTTTTTTAAAGTTACTTTTTCTGAAATAGTTTGAATGATAATTAGAATTTTTATAAAAGTTTTATTTACCAATGTTGAAGTGCCCATGGAAGAAAACAAAATAATTGAACGGTTTAAATTGGTTAGCTATTTACTTATTGGTGAACATGAAACATTACAAGATGAAAAATTAAGCTAATGAACAATGAACAGTGGTTTAGAAAGTAAAATTCCCATTATTTTTGTTAATATTTTTAAGGTGTTTGTTGTTCCCGTGGCAACCAGTGGGTGCACCTGCCCTTAATATAAAGCAATGTTTTGTTTCTCGTAACTATGCCAACGTGTATGACTCTTTCACTAGAGTAGAAAAAGTTATTTTACTTCAGAGACCCCTTCTTTTTGTGAATAATAAACCTGGACTAGGCCTCACTCTGAAAAGAAGTATGTTTGCAGATGCATTTTACGCAAATGTTACCAGAATTTTTAATCTCCCTTGGCCATGCAAATAAATGGGTTAGTTTGTACTGAAATGACTTCTGCAGACATAGAAGTCTTGCTCAGCAAGAAAAAAAAGAGGCTGGCAATTGAGGTTTGAAGGTATTGCTCTGATTTGCGGGTAATTTTTGTACAACATGAAGTAAGGCTGAAAAGACTGTCTGTAAATTTAGTGCAGCTCAAAGCTACAATTGGTCACTTACTCTGTATTCTTGTGATGTGACCCAAGAAGTAGTTGTGTCTAGCAAAACCAAATGATTGTTGGTATAGAAATGAATGGGAGAAAGAGTCCTAGCCGATGGGGCAAGCAAGTCTGCTGCTGGAAGCAGTCAGCTGATCTTTTGTGACAATAAGGATGTGCAAACTTTCTCCTCTCTGCCATCTTCACCGATAAAGACACCAAAGCTTGTGATATGAACATACTGGTGGCATGCAGACCCCGTGATGTGATGAAGACGTACAATCATTGTGAATATGTTCTTGTCGTGGGTGACGATCATTTCAAATGCTTCATGGTTTTTTTCTGGTTTTCAGCCTCTTCATTGCAAGCCTACATTTACTGTGACATGTTTCTTATGCTCAGAACATGTTTACCAAACACTTATGTGTCTATGGTACCTCAGAGTAAGAACTTATGAATATATAATTATATATATACATGTATCTGCCATAGTTTTGTACAGTTGCACAATTTATCATGAAAGTCTTTTGCTGGTACCTTGTGTGTTTTATGTTTTTCTGATTACCGGTAAATAATTTGAAAAAAGTGTATGTAAGAATTTAAATTCTGTTTTAACTGCATACTTTGAAGAAGGTCTTTGTTAGGTTATCGTTGAATGGAATTGTGACTAAACAATTTCTTTTTATTGATCCTGCAAGAATGATTTTCTTCTCATGCAGTAGGCTTCCTGTGCAGTGTGATGATATGTTTGAAGGCAGTGTCTTTGCCTTATGATAATATGATAATGAAAGCATTTTAACTTGTGTGCAAGAATGTTGGCGGGTGCAGCAATATCCCTTTTTTATTTGTTTATGAGTAAGTGAGTGATGTGGTGCGCTTCTGTTATTCCTTTGGGGAAAAATGTGAATGAAATATTTGTGTGCATATCATGACCACAGAATAACCTTGTTCTTTCTCTGTCACAAGTACTTTTGAGACATTGTGAGTTCACAGTATTCAGACATAATATCTCCCTCAACTGAATAACAAAATGAACTTGAATTTTATCTAAACAATTAAAAGAACTGTGCTGTAGTTCTAACTTTTACGTATCATGTGGAGGGAGTACAGGATGAGGCCTTAGACATTCTAAACATCAAACACACACAAATTCTGAGTTAAGACCTTGTCATTTTGGTATTGTAATATTCATTCTGGCAGGCTTGCAAGATGAGGCTTCCTTCTCCCTCAAGTTCTGTACAAATCCTTTAGCTAACTTCTATTTGTTGATCATGTTGAACTTCTGGAGATTATCTCTGCCATGAAGGATTTTTAAAAATCTGTTGTCATGAGAAACCTCACACCTGCACAGTTTCTCTACTCTCTCAGGGACTCATCTGATTGTGGTCAAGTTTGATTCTAGGTTGTTGTTTTTTTCTTTTTTGTTTTTGGTAAGAGTTTTATGGCGCTCACAACTGAATAAGGTCATGCACAATTCAATTCTTGTGTAGTAGATCTATATTGATTTAATTTTTATATTTAGTTTTACTCATACAGTTTAAGTTTTTGTAAGTTGAATATGTTTTCTTTCTTTCTGTTATTGGTAGTGTTGTATTTGATTCTACCTTTAGGATGGTATCTAAGTCACTCAAGGAAGGAATAAGAACAGTGTGTAATTCTGGAAATTTGTGTGAATGTTTGACTTTGTTGTGAGGAATTTAATGCAGCCCCTCACTAAGATGAAAGTGTTCTGATCTTGTGTAATATCAAAGAACAGAAATTATGTTACTCGTAAAGCTATAGACCTGTGGCTGGTTAATTTCTTTATTTGCAAAACCGATTTGTATATTAGTTAGGGTTATTTCCAAGAACAAGTTATAAAGATAAGACTATGATATGTAAAAACTGAGTCTTTTGTGTTTTTGAGCCTTTACAACATTTGAAAGGGGAGCTCTGTTTGTAGTGGTATTTTTTACCACTTTTTTCATGTTGGGAGTGAAAATTTACCTTTTATTCATTCAGAAAATACATTGTTGTTATGTATGACAGTTGACAACCTGACTTATGTAAGAATTCATAGAACTCGGATAAATTCTCTTGTTGCATTCTTGAGACTGCCCTTCATGTATTTTCTGATGAAATGAGCACACCATTTGCAGGTTGCGTTAGAATATTTTTCATTTTGAGATCACTTTTTCATGACTAAAGTTACTGGTTTGTTTATTTGGTTTCTAATAAATGTCCACCAGCACAGGAAACATTTGCAAAAGTATGGACTACAATTTAAGCTCCTTTCTGATTAGAATAAGCTTACTGAATATCTGCTTGTTTAATGACTGTGGGAACTTTATTCAGTTTGATTTATGATTTTTGCTACCTGTCATATTTTAGTGATGGTATAGACACAACTGAGTTCCATCTGTCATTTGTAAAAGATGATTTGCAATTATATTATAAAAGAGATAAGAGCAGTATGAAGGATTTTGCATGGCCTCCTGGAGGTAATAATGATTAATTAGGGTACAAAAAAAGAGATGGTCACAAATTTGGTAAACGTAGTTCCCTTCCACCTGACTGTGTTCTGGAATGTTTGCTGCTGTTGCTGTGTGTCTTGTGTTTTTGTTCTCAATACCGGTAACAAAAAACTCGGTGCTTCGAGGAAAGTGATAATTTCTTGCCGAAGAGTGTAGAGATATTGTCCCCTCAATGCATCAACATTCATATATCTTAACAAATCAAGGAAGAGGTGTAAATCTCTTGTATGGTAAAGATCCTTAACTTGAAATAGTAGGGTCTATTCATAACACTTGTTCACCTTTTAAAAAGTTTAACACTATCTTTAGTAAATTCTCAGATGTATCAGCCTTTATGATTTGTGAATAGCTTCTTCAGAACGTGCTAGCTACTAAAGAACCTGTCAAATGTGATGTGTATTATATATACAATCCATTCTCAAAAGCTTGGTTTGGAAGCAATGGATTCAAACAAGGTTTTTGCTTTTCCTACTTAAATGATTTCTGTACTAGGTGTTTTTTTTCTAAAGTTTAAGGTGAGAAGACAATCAAATAGAACACTTGCACAAGAATCTATGAACTCTATTGCTGGAAGTGACTGGATCATCACACTAAACATACAGGTGATATGAATGCCTGTTCCTAATATAGTGTAAAGTTAATATAGTGTAAAGCGCATAGAGCCTGCTGTTGAGCGGGGATATGCGCTATACAAATGCTATAAATGCTATCTATTTCCTGATTTTCCTTCTATTAAAGATAGCTTTAGAAAGCATTAGGCCCCTATGTGTGCTGAAATACACCTAAAGATCCTGTAAGTTTTACATTCTTGTAAACAACATGGGAATTTCAGAACACACAGTAATAAAAGAAAACGAGAAGCTGATGCTGTACAGTATGATGGTCATGCAAACACACAATTATTAACTCCCCTAATCTAAGGGGAGTGTTATATCGCAATTACACATTGGATGCTTAGATTGTACTGATACTTGCAAGGATACTTTCCTTTTGAGAATGGCATATGTGTACACACGCACATGCACACACACGCACACACACACACATACACACACTGACACGCACACACTCACACACAAACACACACAATATACACACATAAAAACATTCTTGCACACACACACTCTTGTTCACAAATACTCGCACACACATTCATGAACACACACATGCAGGAAAACACTCACACACACACACTCACACAAATTCTCACATGCATACACACATTCATGAACACACGCACGCACATACGCACTCATATATACGCAAACAATTATGGAAATGATGCTTTTATGGCATTCATTACTTTTTAATTATTAACTGGAATTTTAAAATGTATTTTCTTGAATCATAATTTTGTTTGCGAAAGAGCTTCTGTCCACCACTGGATTCTTCTTAAACGAATGAGAAATTTCATTAGGTTTTAGTCATTCAGTAAAGAGAAACAATTTTCATTAGGCATATGGGCCGTATATTTTCAACTTACGAGTACACCTTTGGCTTTTATACTTTTTGCACCGGTGGAGTTTTACTGTGAGCTTGGTCAATGTCCGGTGAAGTGTGCAGCTCCTTCTTACTTGTCTGTTTATGACATGCAATACCCTCATTTTGCCACACCTATTAGCATTAAACATTTTCACTGTTCACTGAAGTCTTTTATTGATTTGTTCAGTGTTTCAGATACCCATGAAGTGGTAGGCCTGTTTCCTTCCCCTCTCTTTCAAGTTCTATAATGTACAGTTTTCATCTTACTTTTTGCTTTATATATGATATTTTGATACACAACCATTGTCTGCCACTATGTCAACTCAAGCTGTGGTGGGGGTATAAAGAAAACTGTGTTTTCTCTTCTTAGCACGTTGCTTCACTCATCCAAAATTATAAAGAGTTGAGCTGTAAAACTACAAAGATAACCTGATTGTAGTAGCTCCTCATGTGATGGAATCAGGCGTTTGTCAATTTTGGGGCATATTGAATTATTGGTATCATATTAAAGCTTGTTCCATTGTCTTGTTTCGATTAAAAAATTATCCTTCTATCTTCAAAGAAGTCGAGATATTTTGGATTGAAGGAGGAGGGGGTCACATAGTTTCAGAGGTAAAATGAAAGAGAAAATGGCCTCCAAAGTTTTGTGACTTCCAAAGCTTGAGAGTCCTTGGAAACTGTAAATTTACAATTTGTGTGCATTCAGTCAATGTTTTTCAGTAAAAGCCACTTGGCATATTGTTTTTCAATGAACATAAAAGTTGTTGAGTCAGAACTGTCAAATGGGAAGAAAAGTGCCATTTTCTTTGATTTCATTATTTTGACAAGCGCCTGATTTCACCACACTGCCTCACATATATATATATATATGTACGATTCATTTTACATACTGCTAGTAGTAAGGTTGGGCCCAAGTCACCTTGAAGGTGTTCAAGGTCTTGGTCTGATATGGGAATCTGAACCAAAGCTGACATGATGTATTTCGGCAAACGATTGGAAAACTGCTAGCAGTTGTTACTTAGTCCGTGACATATGCTTGTCAATCTTGTCAGAGGTCAAGGGTCAAGTCAGAATCTGTTCTGGTTTGTGCTTTTTTGTAGTTTTTTTTTTCTTTTCTGTCTGTAACAGCACTTTGAAACTGTTACTCTGAAACGGGAATAATTAAGTGTGTGGAGAGGAAGTGACACGTGCGTACATTTGAGATTGCAAATTTTAATTTGACACCGAACATTGGACTCAAAATTGACATGGACATGACCGTTGTTTCCCCCCATGTGTATATTGACACTGTTTTCCTTGCCTCCGCCAGTTCCTTCCTGATTGCCTGGAATATTAGAGAAAGTCAAGGCAGTGTTTAGTCCTCTACTCTAACTGAGAATCTTTGAGAACAGTACTCATTCTTGTAGCCATTGTGCAGGTCACATGGAATGTAGAAGTGAGCTTTCAACCTCTCCTTAGAAATTAGTTCTAAGAAAATAAACAGTATGGTGTTTTCTAATTCTCAACTAGAGTATTTGTCCTTTTCAGTCCCTCTTTAGATTTCATCACTCTCAGAAAAAGACAGGACTGGACCTTTTCAAGAATTTTTCATAGCATACTGGATTGGGTAAAAAAACAACAACCGTAGGCCCTACGTAGTATTTTGGAAGCTGTGACCTATGTAAGACCAGTAGTCAAACTAGTATCTTTAAAGTATTTGTTTGTGCATTGTCTGAAGAGTGATTTGAGTGAGAACATTAGTATGTAAGTTTGCATTTTCCAACTCATTTGTTTTGTCACTATCTCAGTTTTCCGTGTCCTACAAGAAATGAAAGTGTGTTTTTTTTTGTTGTTTCAAACATTTCTTCGTTAGCCTTATTGTTTTTTTGAGAAAGTTGTATTGCCTTAACATGTTTCTTTTACTTTGTCGGTATATGTTGCCTGTTGAACAGAATGGAATAATTTGTTTTTGTGCATTGACATGCTTGCTAGACTGCTTTTAATCCTTGCACATTATAGTGCATTTATACTTGAACGGTTGTCATTACATGTAGGCCTATGTAGGGCTTCTTTTTGTGGACATGTGAATAAAGTTTTGTTTGTCCTTGAACGTATAGTCGTATATGTTTCAGACAAACCAGAAGCACAGATAGACAAAGTAACATTTTGAGCGAGTTCTGAGTACCAGGAAGTTTTTGTGTTGAATTAGGAATTTTTTTTTCTTTCTTTTTTTGTTTTTTGTGTTATAGATTTCCATGTCTCTTTACTGCCATTTTGTAGAGTTGCATCTCATTGTCAGTTATGCTGTCTCAGTTATGTAAAGGAAAGAGCAGTAAGTAAAACAGAGAAAAAAAATGAACAGATAAGTGACTATTTGTCAGATGAGGAGGTTTGGACCTAGAAGCCTGACTCTCACATCCATAAATTTGTCTCTCTCTCCTCTCCCTCCCCCCCAAAAAATTTTAAAAAATACTTAAATTTTTTTATATTTTACAACTATTTTAAAAGTGAACCTGAAGAAATGTGTTATATTAGCAGTTTCCTGACACAATGAACAAGGATGTATGAACAAAGTGAATGTGGGTTCAGTTCAGATACTCACTTTTGTAGGAAAGGAGTGTTTCAGATGGTTTGAAGCAATCACATCTTCCTTTTATGGAGCATCAACGAATAGAAACTGTAGCAGTGCCATGTGCCGAGTGAGCGCACTCATTTCTTCTTTATCGTGCTACATCAGGTACTGTCATGCCATTGAATATTTTTGTGTACAGAGGATCTTTATAAATCATTTTCTTGCTTGTTATTTCATGGTGCTACCCACAAGATTAATTTGGGAGGTCCTTCATCTGAAGTTAGTGAAGTGGTTTTAAGAGTTTTGCAGATAGGAACTTAAGTACAGTGTAACCTCTGTGTAACAACCTTTGATATAACGACATCCTATGTATAGCGACATGATGTCCAGGTCCCGATTTGTATCCGAACAAAAGTGATGTGTGGAAGGTTGCTGTTATTTTTTCTAAAAAGATTAACGTTAAAGCGAAGAACCCTTTTATTTCCACTTTTGTGATGGATAAGGTCTTAAAATATTTTTTTGCAATTCGGACAGAGTCCCTTGGAAGTGGAAGGAACAGTCTAATGTACTTCGTTGATGCTTATTTTTGCTTTTCACAACACAAAAACGAAAAGGAATGTGAACTGAATAATGTCAGATTGCAATTTGCTTTGCTGTTATTATATGTTGTCTTTATCTTAGTCGATATTGGTCTTGTGGAAGAAAAGGGTTAATTTGGAGCTCTCTTATCATAAATAAACTTAGCCTACTATGTCGAAAAGTGTGTAAAAGTCACACCATGCCATACTATATTTTAGATGACAAGCTGTTGGATCCTGTGTATATCTCTTGCGTTTAATTTAGTGCACCCAGAAGTGTTGGACTTAAGTAAGTGGATATTGCTGATGTCTCCTTTAGCTCTTAATGGTGCCATTGTGCTGTTTATGCTGTGTTTCTGTTATTTGTATTTTGCTTCTGTGTCACTTTTATGTCATCAGTTGATGAGCTACTTTATTGGCTCTGTTTGGTAAAGATTTTGTCACTCCATTGTTTTGTTGTTTTTTGTTTGTTTGTTTGTTTGTTTGTTTGTTTGTTTTTG